GTAGCAAAAGCAGAAGCAGAAGCAGTAGCAGCAGCAGCAGCAGCAGCAGCAGCAGCAGCAGCAGCCGCAGCAGCCGCAGCAGCAGCAGCAGTACGTCGCAGTAGCCGTAGCGGTAGAAGTAGCAGAGCAGCAGTAGCAGTAGCAGTACGAGTAGAAGTAGGAGGAGGAGTAGTAGTAGTAGTAGTAGTAGTCGTAGTAGTAGTAGTAGTAGTAGTAGAAGTAGTAGTAAGGAGTTTGTAGTTGGAGCGGCAGTGGCAGAGGCCGTGGTGGTGGTGGTGGTGGTGGTGGTGGTATGGTTGTAGCAAATTATCCGCATGATCGCGCTGCAGGCTGCGACAGTCTTTATTGCTCTTGTTGAGTCTTGGTATTTCCATGAAGCTCGGCGTCCATTCCCAGGAGCATGTGGCCAGGCTCAAGTCCAGTCGTCTGGTATATGTGATCCTGCAAGCCGGTCATCCTCCCTCAGAGACTAGCAGAAGCCAAACTAAGTCCGGCTTTCTGTCACTTCTAGCTCAGTAGCTGCCGGATGCAAGCACAAGCAGCTTGATTGACCTCCCGTCCTGAAAGTTGCTGGTAAAGGAGTCCACGGTTAGGTAACCAAACATCATAAAAATCCCAGCCATTGACATCTTCTTTTCAACCTCTTCCGCTTCGTGGATCTGAAAGTCCCAGACAAAGAATGCCACAAAGCCTTGTGCAAGCAGGTGACAATGTCAGATGTGAGTCCCTGGATCTGCGGACTACCCTCTTCGAATTTCGACTACTGCGTCCCAGCAAAATTCTACGACTGCAAGCTGTATGAATCTCCCACGTCTTGCAGCGTCAAGCAACCCCGCACAAAGGAGGTTACGACCTTTTTGCTACATCGCGGCACATGAAGGCTGCTGCTCTAGTTCGTTAACTTGACGGGTGAGTTCCTCGAGAGAGTCTGCCAGTACAGCATCCTCTGACACATGCTCGTAGAAGAGCAAGGTGGGAAGGTATTGGCCCGACATCATCACTTTGGTAACTGAGTTCCAGTCTGCCTTTTCGCGCACACTCGTGTCATCAAATAAGATCCAGCGCTTCCTGGCGGGACACCAGAAAAGCGCCACGTAGTGCATGCCAAAGTAACAAATCATCCCATGAAAGCAGTATGCATCGCCCACTTCGACCTGGGATGCTTTGGAGGGGCCCGGTCCCGCGCAAGATTGGTCGGATTGCGGGTTTGTCTGGAAAATCTGGTCCATATTCAGCTGTGGCTGGATCATTGCCAGCACCAACCACAAGGCTTCCCGTCCGGGGGTGGATGTCGGCCAAATCAACGACAGAATGAACGTCTTCGGATGTTTTGTAAGCCAACGCTCGGTAACCAAAGTCTTGCGGGAATTGCACTCTGCGCACTTCCCGTCAGCATCCCTCTGGCAAAGCTTTCTCAGAACCTCCTGCAACGTGGCTGGATGCTGCCCTGCCAGCTTCGATGTCAGTTGTAGCACCATGTCCTGAAAAGGACTCTGTCGATCTGCGATATGCTGCTCCGCAGGAGTTCGGCTTTGACAGTCGATCAGCTCTGTAACATAAGCTCTGTACAAGTAGGCGCCTGAAACTGATGGTTCCCTCGTGGCCCCGCAAAACGTGCACCGAGTGATATCAACGTACTCAATCCCGAAGACTTCATGGGCGAGGCACATCGGGTGACAGCCAAAGTCACTCGCCTCTTCAACAAACTCAGCTTGCGATTGCAATGGGCAGCAAGCGGGACCGTGCGACACGTTGCATGCGTGAAGACAACCGAGAATTGTTTCTATCGTCTCCGTGGCATCTTCCATGTCACCTATTTTGAATCGTCCCTGGGCATCATACACACTGGAGAGGGCACGCCTCAAGCAGTCAGGAGGAAGCGTGTCTGCATCTGAAAACTGAAACTCCTGGAACACTGTTTTCAAAGCGCAGTAAACAGTTGCTCCGACTCTGTTCTGGGCAGTGGATCCTGCGTGATCATGCTCGGGAGCATGGAGGACTCGTCTTCGGAAGGACTGCAGGTTCCAAAAGGCCTGAATAACAACGTTCAAGAAGCCTTGGATCGGGCCGAATCAGTCTTCAAAATACTGCCGTCACCGAACAAGCAAGCATGAAATCTATCTGCTACTCAGGCATGATTACCCACAAGATGGCACTCAAAAAGCCTTGAAGATTCCGGGGGGGGGCGGAAGGTGTAACGATGCAAAGCCACTAAAGCAGTTAGCACACGCATCTTGTTCGGAGTTGTGGCGCAGTTGTTGTAACTTGTTGTAAGAAACGCCTGTAGCACTGGTAGCGCATAAGAAGAAACCTGACACAGTTCAATCTGACACAGAGTCTGGTTGCAGTGGTTAGCACCATTCTCGTTCTCCAAACCACGGGCTCGCAACGGCAGCGGCTCAGCATCACGAGCAGAAGGCTCCATGGCCTTGGGTCTGAGTTTCATGTAGCCTTCGGTATACAGGTTTGGGAATGTTTCACGTAGGATTCGGATTCAGGGCGAGGGGCATGAAGCTAAGCCGTGGGGCTGTCCTGCTTCCGACATCGGGCGGCGTGTGCTCAAAGGCTCGTAAATCCACAGACTTGGGATGCTCATTTACCTGACTTGAGCCAAGGCGGTTCGAGACGGGCTCTGAGCATCCTGACGGCCTCGCTTGAAAGGTACATGAAACCCAGGAAACCTGGTTCTCTCATGTCAATCCGAGGAGCAGGTCAGCAGAAAGCCTTCCACGTAGTCCAGGCGGCTGTAGACGCGGTTCTGCAAGCAGCTCCTGAAACTTAAGACTTCAAAGCTCATGCCTCTTTCGCATCTAGCTCTGACAGGAGCATCCCAAAATGCTTGAAAGCGGACAACAACAGGATCCAATCAGCACACCAAACGCTTAGAATCCTACTGTATCCTCCAGTTGCGACCTGATCCTAGACTTCCTACTCTAGGATGTGTTCTTGTTCTGGCTTCGTGCTGAGACCTGAAGGAGCTATCTTTTGCATGACAGAGGATCCCAACGAGCATGACAGGAAGCACTTTCAGCGTCTTCATCCTTGGCTCACGTCACAGGCAGGTTAAGAAGAAAATCGACACTGCCTGTGCGAGGCTTGGCTACTGCATATCTTTCTGAGGTTGCACGCTATGAACACATTGAAATCGCTGCAAGCATCAGAGATTGCGCTGGGAAGAACCTCAACAGACATGGAAAGTTGCACACACGCCACTCTGCATTGTGCACCCGACAATTCTGAACACCACGCGTGCGTGCCATCAGGCAGCATCAGATACAGCGCCGCGTGCTGAAGGGATGTAGCCACCAAGTCTGTAGTAGCAGGAAGAAGTGTGCCGATCATGCCTGCAAGCAAAGACAGTCAGCATCTCCACATGTGCACCGTGATACAACTACTCTCGGAGCCTGGTGCAACAACTTGGTGCCCGCTGGCACAGAGTGCAGCCAGTGAAAGCAAGGCCCCGGCAGAGTGGCTTAGAGCAACCTTTGGACAGCAGTCTCGGGAGCCAACGGCTGCACTCTGAAAACACAGGTCTTTCTGTCTGAACTTAGCCCCGGACGAGTGTTAGGGGAAAGTTGAACAGGTCGCTTTCGAAAGTGTGGCTGGATAGAAACTCCTGACATGCACGTGTGGCATCCTGGACAGCGCTCAGCTGCCTTAAGCTCCCAGCAGCACACGAGAGCAAGATGCTGCAGAGTGCGTCTGTACTCGCGAAGACTGACAGTTTGGATTGATCACCGACTGAGCACAAGCCCATCACATGTGGCTCCTGCAACAAAGAATATACCAAGTACACGACGTGGATGGCCATCCTCGGGCATAATCTGAAACCCAGCTTGATCGTTTTGCGTTTGCAACCCACATCGCGAAGAGAACAGCACCGCATCCCAGAACAGTTCACCATTGACTGAATAAACTACAACAGCTGCATCGCGGCTTCGACACAAGTTGGCCCATCCAGAACAAAATGTGCACAAATGATTGATGCGATCGAGCTGCGTGCATACGAATAGTGGCGAGAATCGTGACAGCCTGCGTTCACGCATGGTTTGCGACTTCCCCTCCAGCGCCTCATGGAAAGACACTTCTGCGCTGCAGCTGCCTTGCCGAAAAGTTCCTTGGATGAGGCGTGGCCAAGTCTGCTCTCTTGCTGGCATCCCTTCCTTTTCTCTCTCCTCCAGGGTGTTCCGCCCCGCCCCGGCACGCCAGCGTGTCCGTGCTTGGAGGTCTTAGCTTAGGCTTTTTGGAATCAGCATCCCTTGTCTATCTTTCTCTCTGCGAGGCTTGAAGGTTTTCAGGGACTGTCGTTTGGGCATTTACTTGTCGATAATCATGACTTGTCACGCAAGCACTGTTTGTTCAGTCAGCGAAGTCCCAAAAACGCCGATTCTGTGATGTTAGACCAAGGTATGCTGTGGTGACATGTGTGGTTCGATACAAACGCGGATCTTATGGAAAAACAACTTCTTATACATGTATACATATATGTATAGATGCAGAGGCATGGTGACCTTCCTAGGACCAACCTTGGTCATGCAATTGCTGACGTGTATCCCCGTGCTGTTGCGGATGAAAGTCGAAAACCCCATAAATATCGCTAAATTTCGTTTTCGTTACGGTTGTCTACTGTGTATGTGCATCATGCTACAGTACAGTATCAAAAGGCAGGTTCCAGTTTCGCAGCTATATTTCTAGCTATCATGTTTTTTTTGACGTTCTGAAGCTGCTCTGCTGGTGAGTATTACTCTCAGAGTCCATATTGCTACATGCCAGTATGTTTCCTGCGATCTAGTATTCGAACAAAAAATACGATGCATGTGTCATTGCTTCTGTTACAATTTCACAGTGCCTGGCGGCCTCGCCTCATACTTAAATATTGCTCATCGAGTGCTTATGTGACACATGTAAGTATGAGTTACCAGCACCTGCGATCTAATTTCCAAGCTGTGGCTACGATCATGTGTTGCTGCTTTGTTAGAGTTCTTTTGCAGTTAAACTCGGATCGGTATTTGTTGAATATTTAATAACGTTTCACCTCATATTTAAGTTGCTCATAGCAGGCGAGAACATGTTGAAACACATCGAACGCTCAGTCAGTACCACTCAGTACTGGAATAGCTACTGTAGTCGTTGCAGCAATTCAAAGCAAATTAAGATAGTAACTGCCGTGCATCTCACCCGTGAAGAAACAAAAGCAAGACGAACCTGCGAACCGGGGGCTCGATAGTGACTAAATCATAAAATGCTGTATCACTAACTAGCTTCAAGAATGCGTGTCCGAATACTCTTTACAAACTGGTAAAACACTCATAAGACATGAATTGCTTGCATAAGCCAAGATGCAACATCGGCACTCTCTGAAAGGCCTCAGACTGCGGAGACTGAAACTGACCAGAAACGAACAACCCGAGACTCAGATCGGGTTGGGAATGTCGGGCATGCTGCTCGGAGGAAGCAGTGTGGATGGTCAAAGCTGAGCTGTCGAATGAAGAAAACGAATTCTCAAACCGACGCGGCGCTGTAGCCCAGACCCCAGCTCTGCGCACCGAATGCTGCCAAGTTTCTTCCGGCTCGACGGACACCAACTCTTGGTGATCTTTTGCCAGGGGTCGAACGGCTCGAACAATTAATGTACCGAAAATGATGAACATCGCCACAATGCTAAGGCCTGCAGGCAGAGGGCATCGTCCGACCACTGAGGCTGTAAAGAGCTGACTGACATCCTGATGCAAAATTGAAGTCCCCACAAGTTCTTCTGACTATCTGAGCAAGTTTGGCTTTCATTACTCCAAAGTTCTGGCTCTTGGTGTTGTCTCGTGGCTTGATTCTTCGTGCGCTCTGGTTTCCCGGCATTAGCATTCAAGGAAATCTATATGGCTGTCTCTGCCAGCATCCCGCAGGTGGCTGTTTCGCTCCTGGCGATCCTGTGTTGTACAGTAGACATCATGTGACACCGCGCCTAATACCCGCAACTCCCTCAACATACTAAACCTTGCAGGACCCTGCAGACAAGGCCCGCCTGACATGTCATGCTGGAACAGCATGCATGATACCAGCACTGAAAGCACTTGTCGCGTGGAGGCAATGAGAGTGTAGACCACAGGACCAAAATGCCTCAGCAAAGCGCTGCAACATGATGCAAGATGCCTGCAAGCGACGAAAGACAAAAACATTCCGATCTCTGACAAGAGCTGGGCCGCTTGATCGTGTAGGATATCATGTACTGGGTCACCGTCGATGCCAGAGACAGAACCAGCATGTGCGTTAGAGCCTGCCAAGCACCGACCAAGATGCTGCGAGTCGAGATGACATAGCAAGCAACAACATGGCAAGGGCCTCTGGACATTGCCAAATGAAGTTGATCGATGAGAACCTCGGTACTGGCTGGTGAGACTCTGCACCACCCGCGCCAGAAGCGAAAGCAGAGCCAAGTCGCATAGCACCACTCAGGAGCAGCCTTGGAGGCAAAGTCCGACGGTGTACCGGTACACATTGAAAAGGGGACTTGCTGCTTCGAGGGCACTCAGCAGTTATGAAGGCTAGGGCGAAGCAGGACATCGCCAAGGTGGCCTGGACCACATCGAGGTCCTGCAGGTAGACTGCATCAAGTCATGTCGAGTGACCATCCGTCCATCGCTGTGGCGTCATCATTCATTCTGCCAACCTGTTTGTAAGCATACGCAACGCTGGGTATGTCCTTTGAGCTTGCTGCTTCAGTTTGATCTGACCTACCAACTGCAATCCACCCACATATTGCACCCTAAACCCAAGAAATCCCAGGAAGCAAAGAGAACAAGAGCGAGAAGGGGGAAGAGAGGGATAAGGTAGGTGTGTGTGTGTGTGTGTGTCTGTGTGTCTGTGTGTGTGGGTCTCCATGTATGTGTGTGTGTGTGTGTCTGTGTGTGTGTGTGGTGTGTGTGTGGTGTGTGTGTGTGTGGTGTGTGTGTGTGTGTGTTTGTGTTTGTGCGTTTGTGTGTTTGTGTGTTTGTGTATCTGTGTGCTTGGCTCGTTTGTTTGTTTGTTTGCTTGCTTGTTTGTTGGTTTGAGAGTGTTTGCGTGCTTTTGTGCTTGGTTGGTTGCTTGTTTGTTTGTTGGGTTGTTTGTTGGATAGATAGTTAGTTAGTTAGTTCGTTCGTTCGTTAGTTAGTTAGTTAGCTAGTTAGTTAGTTAGTTAGTGAGTTA